CTTCCTTGGGCTAGAATGGGGCCGTTCCCGTGGGAGTCTATCTGCATTAATATGATGTGGGCTGGGTCTGCTGCCTGTTTCCTTAGGGAGGCGAGACTAATGGGTCCTGGACCCTTGGACAACTGCCCTTGAATATGCACCTGTGAGCTACCCACTTGAAAATCCATGGTGAGGCGGGCCCAATCACATATCACTGGCCCTAGTTGCCTTAACCATTGGACTCCGAGAACTACATCCGCTCCACTGATTTCCAAGGGGTGCAGATCTACCTCAAACTCATGTCCTTGTATCTTCATCTTTAATTCTGTGCACGTATTGTCGCACACCAGGTTGCTCCCATTAGCTACGTGCACCCGGAAGGCTGTACATGGTTGGACCGGAATCCCTAGTTATCTGACCAATGTTTGGGTAATGAAATTGAGAGTGTTGCCACTGTCTATCAGAACTGACACATGGTGCCCTTGTACCAGTCCGGTTACTCATAGTTTGAGAAGAAGCAAGGCCGGTCAAGGCTTGTAGGGATACTTCTGGGTATTCCTTTGTCCATTGCCCCCATTCTTGGTTGTCCATTGGCTCTTCAATGTCTGTTGATTACTCGACATATTCGGTTTCAGGTTGAAGGAAGAAAACTTGAGGGATCTTACAGCGATGGCTCGGCCCGAATTTGTCTCCACATGCATAACAAAGGCCCTTTTCCCGTCGGGCTTGCATCTTAGCCCAGGTTAACCTCTTGGCTGAGATGGGGCTTGAACGAGTTGGCGTCCTTGCCTGTGATTCCTACTCCTGATCTGGGCTYCGATTTACCCAAGATACATGGTTCTGGGTTCGGTATACCTGGTATGATCGCAGCTCCCAGAGGTTGATTAATCCTTCTTGCCCGATTCAGTTTGTCTTCATGTAGTCGAGCTAATGCTGCTGCTTCAAGAACGGTGGTAGGCTGCATGGCTTTTACCTCCAGCCGCAATTCTTCACCGAGTCCACCAACAAAACTGTCGACAAGCGCGTTTTCTAGCCAGCCTTGCACGCGCATAGCTAATCTTTTGAATGCCATCTGATAATCTTGGACGGAGCTGGTCTGTTGTAGCTTAGCGAGGCTTTCATCATAGTTCTCAAAGGCTGAGACTCCAGATCGCATGGTTAAGGTGTCAGTGAAGTCTGCCCATGTGGCTCTTCGGTGCTGTCGCCGGTACCACTGGTACCAGACGATCGCCTCTCCTTCTACGTGTGCAGAAGCTAATGGGACACGATCAGATCCCTGTGTGTCGTGGTAATCGAAGTATCTTTCTGTTTGCAGAAGCCAGGATGTGGGATCTCCCCCTGCGAAGATGGGAAACTCGATTCTTGTTGTTCTTGATCCGCTTCGATGACTGGTGTCACTACACTCTTCCTGATTCGGTGCAGGTGGTGCCTGTGCTAGTCGTTCAAGCAAGGATGCGAAACTTTCTTTGATTTCTTTAACGTTAGCCGATATTCTTTGCATTTCTCCTTCCATGTTGTCGACTTTGTTCTCCATTGCGGATGACCTTGTGCTTGGCATCTTGGCTCTGATACCAACTTGTTAGGGA